TTTTGCTCATGAGGTTTCTAGATGTAAATGCAGTGTATATATTTAACTATATTCTTTACATCCAAATACTCGTCCATCTATTTAAGGAGAAGTATGAAAAACTTTCAACATCAAAAACTTCATAAATTATACCCTAGGAATATTTCTTAAATATTTTATTTACATCTATGTATCTTCTTGATCAACCTGAGTTTGTGTTAAAAGGGTTAATAACAAGCAGAGCATACTAATTGTTAATTTTTGGTGTTCGGCTTCATAATAGCTCGATATTATTAGTTGAAACATTGAGAATAAGTAAAGGGTCTTTCTCTACAATTAGGCGTTTACTTTGCTTAAATCTGTAAACTTTCCTAACCGAATTTCAATCTACCTCAAAAACATAATACTCCATTTAAACTTAATAGTCTTTCTTGGTAGTTTTCAAATAATTTTATTCTAATTTGTAGATACTTCTATAACATCTTCTATGAGTGATTCTACTCCAAACGGTAAATCAAGTTTTATACTGACGATTTACAGATTATAACAATGTAATAAGCAACATTGATTGCCATTTTAGAAGTAATAAATCTATGTCCAATATCGTTTAGCTACAATGAGATTTTTTCAGATGTAAATGTATTTATTTAACTATAATCTTTATATCTAGTACATTGATTTAAACTTGATAGTCCCGTGTCGCTGTTGTTATCAAATATTTCTATTTTAATTTGTAGATAATTCTACAACATATGTTATGAGAGATTCTACACGACACGGTAAATAAGGTTTTATACTGACAGATTACAACTTAATGTAATAATGTTATAACCAACATTGACTACCATTTTAGAAGTAATAAATCTACGTTCTTTTCTCATCGTTCTGCTACAATGAGGTTATTAGATGTAAATGTAGTGTATTTATATAAAGGAATTGTTAAGATTTGTTTTAAAAAAATTATGTGTATTGAGCATACCTATATCATAAATTTGAACTATTCCAATTTTCAATCAGACGTCTGTGGTTCATACAATTCCATAAAAACTAAGTGTTTGGTGACGTCACTAATCGCGAAGGGCTTTATGTGATATAGTATAAATTTTCGATTAGTGACGTCATCGAAAACTGACGTCTGATTGAAAATTGGAATGGTGCGAATTGATTTCATCAATGTCCCCGATACACATATTTCTTTTTATTAGAAAACCTCTTTACAACACCTTTATTTATAAGCTCTACATCTGGTTAATTGATTTAAACTTAATAGTCTTTGTTTCTCTGTAGTTATCAAATGATTCTATTCTAATTTATTTTGTAGATTTTTATACAACAGCTTCTATGATCGATTCTTCTCTACATGGTAAATACAGTTTTGTATTTAGGATTTACTAATTATAACTTAATGTAATAAGCGACATTGATCGCCATTTATGAAGTAATAAAGATACGTTCTTTTCTCAACGTTCTGCTACAATGAGGTTTTTAGATGTAAATGCAGTGTATATATTTAACTATAATCTTTACATCCAAATGCTCGTCCGTCTATTTGAGGGGAAGTATCAAAGACTTCGTAAATTATACCACACAGAATTTCTAAAATATGTTATTTACATCTGGAGTGACCCGAAATTGAAGAATGGAATACTCTTGGAGATTTTACTGAATATATTATTAATCATCATCAATAATACAACATACAGTTGTGCATAACTCAAAACTCATCAAGTTATACAAATTCTGGAAATATACAAAACAAATATCTTAGTCTTAGTATGAATTAGCACAACATAATGAATGACTTGACATTTTGACTAATTAAATAATCCTAGGCCTAATCTAAGCAAATCTGAAACTAGTTGCATTTCTCTTATATTAACTGTTTGCACACTGATAAGACTGGATTAATCTTATAATATGGATATCATTAGTGAATATGATATACAAATAAAAGAATGTTCTAGCACGTGCTCGTATAAAACTTGCAATTCAATGACACCAAATAACAGGTTCAAATAATGCAATAAACACAATGTCACACTACAATTATCATAATACAGTTTCAATAATATACCCGAAGAGTGGATCTCCTTAGCATTCATTACAAAAATAACTTTAAACTACATTAAAACTTCTTAATCTGTTCGTTGCTGTACTTCTGTTAATGGGGCTTACAAGAAAATGGAGGAGGGAAAAATACAAGGGAGCAGTTATTAATAATAAACTTTTAGGGAGAGGCTTATTGTAATGAAATTACCCGTTAAACAAATATACTAAATTCTATTCAAACCAACATCTATATATCTTCTTGATCAACCCGAGTTTGCTTTAAAAGGGTTAATAACAAACAGAGCATACTAATTGTTAATTAAGCTGTTTGGACTAGTTTTGGTGTTCGGCTTTATAATAGCTCGATATTATTAGTTGAAATATTCAGAATAAGTAGGAGACCTATTTCTGTACAATTAGGAGTATATTTTGCTTAAATCTGTAAATTTTCTTCACCGAATCTCAATAGTATACTGGCATTTTTGACGTTAAAAAATTTAACTAGTTTTAGTTAAACTTTCAAATACTCTAAGGAACAATTTTCTCCAGATTTTGGTGTAAATATTTCATAAATTTGATCAACAAAATTTCGATCTATCCCCAAAACATAATACTCCATTTAAACTTAATAGTCTTTCTTGGTAGTTTTCAAATAATTTTATTCTAATTTGTAGATACTTCTATAACATCTTCTATGAGTGATTCTACTCCAAACGGTAAATCAAGTTTTATACTGACGATTTACAGATTATAACTTGATGTAATAATGTAATAAGCGACATTGATTGCAATTTTAGAAGTAATAAATCTATGTCCTTCATCGTTCAGCTACAAGGAGGTTTTTATATGTAAATGTATTTATTTAACTATAATCTTTATATCTAGTCCATTGATTTAAACTTGATAGTCCCGTGTCGCTGTTGTTATCATTTCTATTTTAATTTGTAGATTATTATACAACAGATTTTATGATCGAATCTTCTCCACCCGGTAAATATAGTTTTGTGTTTATACTGACGATTTACAACCTACAACTTAATGTAATAATGTAATAAGCTACATTGACTGCCATTTTAGAAGTAATAAATCTATGTCCTTTTCTCACCGTTCTGCTACAATGAGGTTATTAGATGTAAATTATTGTAATTATTTAAAGGAATTGAAAAGATGTATTCTTAAAATAATTTATGTGTATCGTGGATACCTACATTATCAATTTGCACCATTCAAATTTTCAATTAGACGTCAGTGGTTCCTGTAATTTCACAAAAACTAAGTGTTTGATGACCTCACTAATCGCGAAGGGCTTTATGTGATATAGTATCTTTTTGGATTAGTGACGTCATCGAACACTGTCGTATGATTGAGCATTAAAAATTGGAGCGGTTCCATCAGTGTCCCCGATACACATATTTATACGCCCACATGAAATTGGACAAGGGGGGGGGGGCGTATATTGTCCTCACCCATGTCCGTCAGTCCGTCCGTCCGTCCACAATTTGCAATTCCTGACGGAGGTTTGACGAAACTTCGTGTGGGTCTTTGAAACCCTATTGAAAATCAGAAGAATCGAAAAATATTTAGTATGAGTTAGTGTCCTTGTTTGTTGAAAACGTGTTCAATTTTTAGCTCGTAAACACTCTTAAATGCACAATTCTTGACAGATTTTGGAGAAATTTGGTGAAATTGTTTATTATCAGCCATTAATGAACCCAATGGAAAATCAAATAATCAAAAAATGTTTTATAGGAGTTATTGATCTTGTTTTTAAAAACGCTTTAAGTTTTCGCTCCTATACACTAAAAGGCCGGATTTTGACAAAACTAATAATATTATTCAGTATCGTCCCAAAAATTCAAAAGTGAAGGTTGAATATTTTATGGTGATTATTAATGTACGGCCAAATGTTTTTATTCGAGATCAAACTGCCAGTGGGCGTATATTACCTTGCCTGGCAAGCTATCTTAGGAAATCTCTTTACAACCCTTTAATCAGTAAGCCCTACATCCGGTCAATTACTTTACATAGTTTGTGATATCAGCATACGCTGAAAGCACCATTCCAATTTTCAATCAGATGTCTGTGGTTCCTGCAATTCCATAAAAACTAAGTGTTTGATGACGTCACTAATCGCGAAAGGCTTTATGTGATATAGCATAAATTTTCAATTAGTGACGAACACTGACGTCTGATTGAAAATTGGAATGGAATGCCCTCCCCGATACTAATAATTTTTTTAGAAAACCTCTTTACAACACCTTTATTTATAAGTTCTACATCTGGTTAATTGATTTAAACTTAATAGTCTTTGTATCTCTGTAGTTATCAAATGATTCTATTCTAATTTATTTTGTAGATTTTTATACAACAGCTTCTATGATCGATTCTCCTCCACAAGGTAAATATAGTTTTGTGTTTATACTGACGATTTACAACCTACAATTTAATGTTTTAATGTAATAAGCTACATTGACTACCATTTAAGAAGTAATAAATCTACGTTCTTTTCTCATCGTTCTGCTACAATGAGGTTATTAGATGTAAATGTATTGTATTGATTTAAAATGATTGTAAAGAGGTATTCTAAATTCTTTATATGTATAGCGGACACTGATATCATCAAAATGCACCTTTCCAATTTTCAATTAGACCTCATGGTTCCTACAATTCCATTAAAACTAAATGTCTGATGACTTCAGTAATCGCATATTTTGGCTTTAGTGGTGTCATCAAAAACTTATATTTTATTATAGGAGATGCTGTAAGGGATGACAATACTGGTAAGTAAAGATCTTCCTTCTACGCAGAATCACTGAATACTCGCTTTTCAATACTATTTATAATGTAATGAGGTTTAATAGCTACATATTAATTTCTATTTATTCCCTGATAAGATTGACGCAGATAGAGACATCACTTTCAAATAAATTATAAACACTATAATGTGTTATTACAGGATCTATAGTAGGAGGAATATTTGGTGCTATTATTATTATAGTCATTATTATAGTAGTGGTACTGTTTCTTTACAAGAGGTAAGAGTCTTTGGTATAGAATACATTGGTTATTCTATCAGATTGAATTGGTATTTGCAGTTAAACATATCGAATGCGATTTCCAAGTTTAAAAGACTGCACCTAAATGTGGGTGTCTGAAAATTCTAAATAATTCTGAGACTTTATTAAAATACATATTATGTACAAATATAATGATTTTAAATTGCAATATTTATAGCGCGTTAGTAAGGTACACTTAGGGTTTAACCCTTTATTATTACGAATCTAAAAAATTATTGTTTATCCTTATTTTATATGTTGACACCTCAACAAACGAATATTTTCGAATCATCTTTTTGAGGTTGACAATCATTACATAACGTTTTATGTGATATGTGTCCTGTCACAGGGCAACTTTCCGAACATCATTTTGCTGAACCCTTTTTTCGCTTAATCTCTGTGCAATTTATCTCTTTAGAAAGACACGACTATCCAAAGAAGTGACACAAAATGCTGTTATACCACAGTATTTTGTCGTTGATGGTCCTGAAAGTGCTACCAATCGTAAAGACAAAGATGGATGTTATGACGTGGAATTGGACATTGAATCAAGAGTACAAACAAATGCTGTTTATCTTCACCAAAGTACCATTAATAATCGTAAAAGTATATATGAGGAAATTGAATTGGAGGGAAAAGCAAAACGACAAACAACTGATAATTATGATCATGTCGGAGATGATAAACTGAAAGTAAAATCTCAAAAAGATCTTGATAACTATAATCATATTGGAACTTACAATCATTCTGTACATGAAGATAACTACAATCATATCGGAAACAATTTGTCTCTAAGATCTAATCATCTTGATGCAGATTATAACCATATTAACGGAGTGTTTGGTAATTCCAATGGTGAAGATGATTACAATCATATTGGTGATAATGATAACAAGAATGTGATAACAGATGATAATTATCATCATATCCGATCGGGGGACATCAAGGTAGAGGGAGATTATGATCATATCGGATCTAAAATGTAATCATCATTACAATATTACAATCATATTCATGATGATAATAATCAAGCATTTGATCAAGTACAAGATAGTAATAATCCAGATAGTAGTGATACACCTTACTATCTGTCTACTTGTTAAGAGGTTATGCATTATTAATAACACTATTATTGGAGTAATATAATAATAAGATAATAATTATCATGTTCCATGTTCAAAAGTCGAAAGATTCGAATTTTGTTATCTTGAACATTATCATTTATTACTACTGAAATATTGAATGTACATGTGGAAGAATCCCTATCCCGAAATCTATACATGCCTTAAAGTGAGAACCTTGGAGATGTACATCCTTGAAAAACTTGAATTCGGAGCTGCGAGGGGTGGCTTCTCTCTCTGCCCCTCGCTCCTTGGCTCCACCATTGCGAAATACAATTGTTAGAATGGGTTTAGTAGTACAGACTAAGTCCATGAGCGCCTGATAGTCGGCAATTAGCGGCGTTTACCTAACAAGTTTACCTAATTACTATATTTCCCCATTAGCAATGGAGATAACTTTTCCTTCGATTTTTTTGGCCCATGAATACAACCTGACAACTGCCCCGTGTGTTTCATCATTTTGTTTAGTCATTATTTTATTCATTGTTATTTGATTAGCTTCATTGTTGTTCTGTTATTACCTGCTTTACTACTTCATGCCCCCCTTGATATATACATGTATATTCTAATATTATCCCTTTTCTCCATTTCATCTGATGACGACACGTGAAAATTGTGTTGAAACGTTATGTACTTTGTTATTAAAGAAGTGTGTTATACATAATATATTCCAAATATATATAGTGTTTTTGTTTTGTTTTTGTTATATGTGCTCTAAATCTTATAATATAAATTGATCATAATCACAGTAACACCTAATCTTTGAGTTTTATTTTCATAAAAATTGGTCACCGGGATTTATCCAGCGTAAAGACTCATAACGTCTAATTTGCAAATTCTAGTGACCATTCTTTCGGACGATATTTATCTCAAAATCATGAATATTAATTTCCAACCAAAAAGGCAGAAAAGACAGTACATGCCTCGAAAATCTTAGACAGAAATGACGTGACACAGACATGTTATCACACACCTTCAAACTATTAATAACAGAAATCTAACTAAAGACTGGTAAGATTACTTAAATGACGAAATGCACGAAATTAGCTTTGCGCATCTCATATTACATTTTTCTGTAGGATATCTTATCCTGTTTGCATATTTAGAAACAAGGGGTAATTAATTTATACTTTCTAGATCGTCTGAATAAAATAAAATGTGTTGGCAGACTATCATAAAGATTAATATGAGTGAGGACTATGTTGTAAATTAAGACGTTAGAAGAGGTAAGACATACGGGTTTTTCTTTGAAATCTCCAAGATTGCGTATTGACAATGCAGACATCTCATTTGACAGATTTAAGAAATGAAAGAAAGAAAAGAACTATATTTTACAAGCAAAACAGCTTCGGTTCACATCTGGTCTTTGGCCAAACCGCTGGGCATTGATCTTTCTTGGATTATCAGTACCCATTTACAGTTGGGTCGACTGGAAAGGTGAGTGAAGATGACAGGATTTTCACAAGGCGTGGTAGAAGAATAGCTTGGTATAGTAGTTGTCGTTTTATACATATAATACATTGACATTAAGACAACTTTAATTACCTTGTTTTATTTTCGGTCTGAAATGATAACTAGAACAGCTTGAAGGTAAGCTCCTTGTTTTAGCTGCAACAGAGATAAATGAAAAGTTTTGGGGTATTTTTCCAGTCGATTCAGCTATAAAGACAAGAGATATGGATATCTAGGGAAAATATAATATTACTCTGTAGTCGCTCGTTTCTGTAGAATCTAAATTAAGTCAAATCTAAATAAATAAAAAAATGGTTCTCGTGCAATACATATAGTTATATTAAGATTAAATTTAAAAACCGATAATATGTGTAGATGTTTATAATCTAGTTAATTCTAAAGGTAGGCAATAGAAGCGGTCTATTGAATAAGTACAATAAAAAGTGTTGACTAAAGTGTGTTATGACTTTTATCATGTGACTATGAGATTTTATATTTAGAATTGTAAGAAAGTAAAAGAGGGGAGCGGATACAAAATTCTTCGTGGTAAATATTTTTATCAAACTTGTCAATTCTTTAGTGTTTCAGTTTCTCGTAGATTTGATCTGTCCTATTATTCAGCGTCTCGATAATAAAAACATTGTATTAAATGTAAAATACGTTAGAGATATGTAAACTATAATAAAATGTAGGTGAATTTCATGTGAATTACTTCGTTCTCTGATATAGGTAGTAATACACTTAAATCCACACGCTTGAAAATACGCCGAATTGTGAAAACTAACATCGGATATAAAAACGAAACGTTGTCGTATGATCGAAAAACAGTATCTGTGCAACTTTGGATTTGTTATATTCCCAGAACACAGTTAACTTTGTTCTGAAAGAAAATCATTTCACAGGTACATGTACATGATTATCAAGACGGAATCATAAACCCATAAAGCACATTCATAATAGGATATTTAACACTACTGTTCCAAGAGTAAGAGGGCTTAATCATTTTAAATATATAACACAGGAAGAAAAACCCATTCTGTTTCTCTTATTTCACTTCCTGAATGGGGTTATGAGACGACAGTAGATTTCATTGCATACGTGATGATAGTATTAATTGTATCTTAAATAATACAACATTTATATTATCAAAACAAAAATGTGTCTCTTACGTCGTTTATAAAACTTTAAAGTGTGTGTTGAAGTTTGTGAATGTTGTCCGGATTTTGACAATATTTCGTTATCGTGTGAATTTCTATATCTAAAACCAACTCTGTATTATGGTAAGATTCGAATGAACATGTGTCATTGTTGTCTTAGACAAAGCGGGTGAATTCGGTTTCTGGGCACAATCGAAATGTAATTTTGGTTTTTAGCGCATAAGTCGAGATTGAGTATATTTTCATCGGCGAACACAGGAACAAAATGATCGAAACAGTATTTTGAAATCTGATTGCAGGTTGGTGTATATTGCCTTTCGCGGCAAGCTATCATTTGAAAATGTTTTATATGAGATAGTTCGTGTGATACCAATAGGCACTGAAGAAGACCTATATTAAGTTTATCATATAAAAAATTATCACCATTATAAATATGTTTTTCTATTATTAACACCTAGGTATTGTTATACATTTGGATCATGTGAGTGAATGAGGATGTAATCATAAGACACGGATACTATTTGGGAAATACTATCAACGTCCTATAACATCTGTACAGCACTCATTAGTCATAATGGATATGCAAAGGATATTATTTTTATTGATAATAGAAATCGCAGCTATAGGTAAGTTATAGGAAATAGGAATCGTTTGTAAAAAGGCTATCTGCGATAAGAATCTAAATGATATATATGAAATAATTAAAAGTCTCCCAAGCTACCATCCTGTTTTCCGTAAATCATAAATCATTTGCTATGCTATAACAATAGTGTAATTCTTTCAGGCAGTACTAATACAAGTACAGTATGTTATGGACCACCTGGTCTATCATGTACAACTCACAGACTATCTTGTCCTAGTCCTCTAGTAATACAGATAATAAATACATCATATGGATATAGATCAGGATGTAATGATACAGAAGGTAAAACTGATTGTAATAAAACATGTTGTGACGAAGAACCTGATGATTGTTTTGTACCATTTGAGACTCGTGAAGAACAACAAGTATTAGAGAGGTGTAATGGAAATGTAAATTGTTCACTACCAGGATATCGTAGATATAACACAGTTAATACTGTATGTAATGGTAGCAATGATAGTGCTTACAGTAAAATACAATATGATTGTGTTACAAAAGGTGAATATAAAATAGTTCTTATGCGTACATATACATTTAACATGATTAGCGATAAACACTTGATTATTGATCAACAATGTAATGGACAAGGAATAGGCTACTCATGAAGACAATTTAGTAAATTTCACTAAATTAATGCTAACCAGTTTCTTAGGCGAAAAAGATCGCTGGAAGAGAATATGAAATTTATTTTCATCTAAGACGTCATCTTAGTGGAGTGCGTGGCCATTTTTAATGGCCGCCAAAATAAGGACAAAAATGCATATTTTGCACGTTGGTGTCAGTTTATGATCTTATATGCCTCTGTAATATGTCTAATCTATAGTTTTCGTGGTCACTGAAGCCAATGGTAAGGTCATAAATTGTTTTACGCAATCCGATATGGCGGCAATACAAAATGACGTCATAATTATAGTTTTAGCCCCGGAATTATGATAATTTCCTTCACTGCATGGTGTGACATATCTATTTATATGTTTTCAAGTACTAGGCGTTCAATTCTACTGTCAAAATATACCTGATGCTATCCCAAATTGCAGAAATTAAAAATAGTCATAAGGTGGGCCTCATCAATCATGAAAAACGTAACATAGAAAACCCAAGATTTAGTCAAATTTATTTTCATGATATCTTTAATAAGTATGTACTTTCATAGTTTAGTTTCTTAGTTTAGGCAATTAAACATTCAGAACCATTTTTAAAAGTTCATCAATATCGTCACTCTCATTTCCACTGGGATTTCTTGCCTGTCTGATCGAGTTTTTTAGTTCCTCTTTTGTTAGATTTTGATATTTGACCCATTTGTTGTCTTCACTCGACGTTTTTGTCGCACATCAGAGCAGACTGTAAGTCGAAGGTAGGTGATTTCTGTAATCAATTGCTTCTCTGTTAATGTGTTAATTAAATCCAACTTTGAAGCTGTAACAGGTCCACCATGTATCTTGCAATTATGTAGAGTAGTCATCATACGTCTCTGTTTTTGTTTCTTCAGTTGTTCCTTTTTCTGCATAGACATGCGTTTGGTTGTTTTCAGAGTTTCTAGAAAGTCTCTTTCCAGATGTTTGACATCTTGTACAGCTTTTGAGGATCTTGCCCATTTCCAATACACATTTTTGTCTTCAATACTCATGTCCATAAATGAAGAGTCGACAAGTAGACGGTTTGAGACAACGATTGTTTTCAATAGAGTGGGTTTTTACAGGTGTCATACCTCCGGAAGCTCTAACTCTGTTATCAAGTTTTGCAAAATTCGACTCGCATCCTAAATTAGTAACAGGTGCAAATTTCAGTTTGTCAAGGACAACTTGGCTGTCATCGTCAAAAAAATTCATAGCTGACAGCTGGCGTCGTAGAGCTTCTTATAGACAAACATAGATTAGTTTTCCCTTTCCTGTTGAAGCAAAATCAGTTTGCAGATTATCCAATCGCGGCAACTTGCTTTCGAAGAAATTCTTTAAATCACTCCATCCACATCTCACTCTATCACCTCGCCCGTCGATCCCAAGTTTATCCATGAGAGGGTTGATGAGGAGTTCTCCCAATAGCGAATATATTATTATTGTTTATTTTTATGAAGTTGGCATAAACTCTTAGATTTAGTCCTTTCACAATCCCAATAACATCTTGCTTTTTCCACTTTATTATTATAACAATTAAAAGTGTTATATTATGTTTTGTAGGTACGGTCTCAACATTAAGTATATCAAATTCCCCTTTAACCCCTAGTGTTAAATGTTGTGCTTCTCAGGGTAAGTTAATTGATATTTTATGTTTTACATTAACTTCATCCATAGAATACTTAATTTATACTTGGAAGGGATCCTGATACAATGATAATTAGTGAGTGCATTCACCATACAAGGTCGACGTTTCACTCTATCTGTCAAAGTTGTATATACATATATATAGATACAGTCAAGTAACCTAATTTCGTGCTAACCTATTTTTCGTGCATTTCCGGAAAGGATTAATAATTTACATGTCCGACCTCGCGTGACCTCCGAATTTACTTGTTTTGAAAAACATGGGTTATCTATACAATGTCAGCTAGTTAAATGAATCCAGTAGTTTCAAGCAAGGTAAAATGCATTAATGTTTACGTTGACAAATACAAAATGGCGGATTTCAGTTATTACCAAACGTCACAATTTTTGTATCGGCCGAATTTCCTTATAATTCCAAGCTGTAATCGGAATTCCAAGTGTCGGCTGCTAGAATGTAGTCCAACGAATGAAGTCACGTGATCAACTAGCGGATTCCATGTCAGCAGAAAAATTCTATGGAACACAATGTCGGGCATATTCTTATGTTGTTTCAATGACTTTTAGCAATAAATCACGCTAATCATTGTTTTTTGAAGGAATTATCATTAGTTATAATGAAATAATAATATCCATACAATGTGTTTTTCTCGACTTATTTATAGATCAAACATAGTACACGAAAATAGGTGACGCATTTTGCCACCGTTGTCGAGTTGGTTACTCATGAAATATGGGTCAAAGTGAGGGATTCATAAAGAAAATCGAAACAAACCAATTTTAATTATTTTGTAGCATATCTGAGGAAACATCTAAGACATAAATTTTTTGTCCGTTTTTACAACTTTGACGAAAATCGGCGTTGAATCCTTATATGTATATAAATATTTCAAATGACCTTTTTTCTTAATACATTCCACTATATTATAAATAGTTTATATACTGACTAGATTTCAGGACATGAATGAATTGTAGTTTTTTCGTATATAATCATATTTTTGGCAACTAATTACACATTTTGTTTTATCATTAACTGTTCTGAAATCTAATCTCGCGTGTCATCCATTGCTTACAAATTGGCCATGTTTTAACATAACGCCTCTTTTGTAATTGCAGCAACTCATGGACTCCTTCTGTCCATTCATACGAAAGTCTCATTGGGTGTTTTTATTTAGTTACAAATAGCTTTATTCAATTCTTCAGCAGTTCCTTTGAGCGATTTTACACAGTAAATAAAGTTTAATATAATCATAAATCTTTTGATTATTTGTAACGAGCTTCATCAAGATATTCATATTTATCGACGTTTTAGAAGCAAAAGCTTCATCCGTTTCTCTTTGTTCTATAGAGCTTAAAACTGCAAATCTGACGATAAAGTAGATGCTGTTTCATACTGTTTACCATTTTAATTTTTACATGGTTGATAGATATTATTTATATCTTATTATAGGTGATGCTGATGACAATACTGGTAAGTATAGATCTTCGTTTTATAAAGAATAATTGGATATGCCTACTCGAGAGCTCAATACATCAATATATGTATATATCAATACTAATTATAATTTACTGAGTTTAATGGCAACATGAAATTTTCGTGGTTGATGAATTCTATTTACATTCTATTACAGGAGATGCTGTTTATAATGACAATACTGGTAGGTAAAGATCTTCGTTCTAAAATGATTACCTTTATATTAATGAAAGTAATTTGTTTCTTCTTTATCTCGTAGACCATTATTACAAGTGGTACAGTTAAATCAATTATAAAATACAAATGAAGCTTTACGTCCCACCTTTATGGTCTGAATTGTTATATAATGAAGATAATGAAAGTATAAACACTATATCTTTTTACAGGATCTATAGTTGGAGGAATATTTGGTGCTATTATTATTATAGTTATTATTATAGTAGTGGTACTGTTTCTGTATAAAAGGTAAGATTTGTACTATTTTCGTAGTGAATTCATTGGTTTAAGGGACAGATTCGCCATCCGTTTGACAAATCGTACCTTAAATAGTCAAGGAAACGGGATTTTTAAGCGAAGATAATCAGTGAAATTGTTAACAGCTCACCATTTTAAAACAACAAAATCTGCAATTATGTAATTGAAAACAGGTATGGTTATTTGCGAAGTAAGGTTCACCAAGTCATTGGGCACCTTTCCAAACATAATTTTGATGAACCTATTTCTATTTTAACTCAAATGCCATATCATCATGGTGATTTAATACAATTTATCTCTCCAGAAAGACAAAACTATCTAAAGAAGGGACACAAAATGCTGGTATACCACAGTATTTTTCCATTGATGATCCTGTGAGTGTTATCATTCGTAAAGACAAAGATGGATATGATGAAATAGAATTGGACAGTGAATCAAGATTACAAGCTAATGCTGTTCATCTTCACCAAAGTACCATTAACAATCGTAAAAGTGGATATGAGGAAATTGAATTGGAGGGAAAAGCAAAACGACAAACAACTGATAATTATGATCATGTCGGAGATGATAAACTGAAAGTAAAATCTCAAAAAGATCTTGATAACTATAATCATATTGGAACTTACGATCATTCTGTACATGAAGATAACTACAATCATATCGGAAACAATTTGTCTCTAAGATCTAATCATCTTGATGCAGATTATAACCATATTAACGGATTACCTGGTACTTCCAATGGTGAAGATGATTACAATCATATTGGTGATAATGATAACAATAATGTGATAACAGATGATAATTATCATCATATCGGATCGGGAGATATCAAGATGGAAGAGGGAGATGATAGTGATGCTCCTCATAACCTCGCGACTTGCTAATTGAGTGTTTATTCATTAAAGTAATAATTCTTGTCAAGCAAAGCTATTCTGCTTAACCGGAGACAGACATAACATAAAGCATAAAAACCAAACATGGATTCTTTTAGGTTGTCGTTATAGTACGCAATATGAAAAAGTTAAGTTACCATTTAATGAACAAGAAGTTGGTTTTAATTTTGCACAAAATTCTTTGTTCAACTATAATAGAATAGGTGTTAACATCGATTTCAAAATAAAATAAATTGTTAAAAAAAAATTAGGTTTCCCTGTGTACTCTGATTTATCATATTTTGTTGACATTGCAAAACACATTATTAGTTATCCCATGTATATAAAAGAGAGTATTCGTTGTTTTATGAATTCATTAAAAAAAAACAATTTTCAAAATAATTTACATCATATTGTTCAAAATTAATTTGCTTTTAGACATTTTTGTAGATATTTCTATATAGATTGACATATTTATTATATACTCCCATTTTAAATATTTATCAGTATTATAATTATTTTCATTATTGGAGTTTTTCAATAATGCACTGAATTTTGTTTAGCACTGAATGTTGTTTAACATTTAAAAGAACTTTATTGCCATTGATATAACCTTGTAGCTTGTTTCTGCTTATCGATCTTTTGTTTTATATTATTTTGATTAAGCAGTAATAAAATTTGTATTCTAAATTATCTTTTATACACCTGCATATTATCATCCTGGTTACAGTTATTAATTTAAACATTTTACACATCGCAGTTCTCTTTAGCTTTGAGTTTGAACATCAGTGCGGGGACATTAACTTTGTGTTGGAACAGATTTATTTTCGGAAAACAAATTGAAAGTAAAAAATGGTGCCTTTTAAGTTTATTATTTTGTGATGTGCTCAGCTATTTTTGTTTAAAAAGCTAGTCAGTGAGCCCAGGTTAAAGTTCACGTTCAGGTCAGTCTTTGATGGTTGTGGTCGTATTTAAATGTTTGGAACTATGAAATTCAGTTTCCTTTCCATTCAGGTTGTTAGTGAACCAATGACCATATGAGAACATAAACAAACTATCGAGATCGAATTGAGCAATCAACCTGCAAATCATAAAATAATTTCGTATGGAACAGTAAATGAAAGTAAAGATTTAAAACTTTAAAACTACATAGGAATATAAAGCTAGGATTGAAGTCCATAAAAGGACGTGAATTAGGTCAAAAATAAGATGTCAGGATGAATGGATTGGGGTTTTATAAAACAACAATTGAAGGGCCAAGAAGGTTACAAGTTGTCTATATTGGTGACATGTGTCCCTATTCTCGTAAAAGGCAAGAAACCTGTAATCAAGCCCATTATTCCAATTGTGATTTGAAACTTTGAGGGGGTATATCACAGTTGTTTCTTGTATTAAAGGAAACACAACAATCCTTTACCGAAGAGGGGTTTTCTCCAATTATTGTCATTTAATTATAAAATTATCTCGTGACGTAATGTTATATACATATACAAAATCTGACATTAACTACACACACTAATAACTAAGTGAAAATGAAGCCATTTTCACCAAAAATATAGTTAATCAATAGTTTTACATTCTAAACCTGTGTTAAAACTGAGTATATACAAAATATTTTGCAGTTTGAAAAACAATAAACCATATTCGGAAAGTTACCAATTGAACAGTAAACAAAAACAATGATTTCCATAAAATGTTTGAGTGGATAAGGTCCGTAACGAAGACAAAGGGAAACAACTTACGCTCAGATATACGTTTGAATTTCTATAGTATAGGTTTCCTAAGAGTTATTACAAAAATGATACAAAATCATTAAATTAAAATATAAGAGATGAATATATTAAAGATGAAAAATAATACAAAACGAGCAATGGCATAATATAACAGTAGAAGATTGTGTGTCATATACATAAGACAAAGTAATAATGGGAGAACAATGAGCTTGACCTACATACGTTCATTTCATTGCCTTGAGAAGGCATTTTGGAATGTGCAAATAATTGTTGATGTCTGAACATAAGCAGAGAGTTGTAGTTTGAATAGATAGGTAAGTTTTAAAATAATCTGGACAATTATATTCATAATTTTGTAAGTTAGTATCCGAGTGTTATATTTAATTCGCTGTTCACGAGTAAGCCAATTTTATTGAGAAAACATGTGGATCTTGCATCAAAGTTCGCGTCAAGTTAACGTAATTCTTTTCATTTAAGAATATATACATGCAAAAAATCACATAACATATTTCATAGAACACGGGGCTATAACTCTGTTATATAAATGTATATTGAAATATATTTTCAGTAGATGTCATTACTTCAACGTCAAAGTACAAAGTGTAAAAGTACTTCATTATTATTTTTACTTCAAATATGATTGGTTTCAATACCAGTTATCCTCAATTCAATATGACAATAAACTATACCATAATTCAAATGTCATTATTTTCTGGCTGTGAGGTCTGTGTGGTATTAAAATGATTTTGAGTACCATTTGACTCATTCCTGTCAGTATGATTAGAACTACCAGCAGACTGAACTTGTAGACCATCATAAATAGTCTGATCTCGTTCTGTGATGTTTATGCCATCGTAGGTATTTTCCACCGGTGAATTTGTAGATGAGGACTTCTTCCTGTAAGGAATTATAAAGATATAAATAGTGTAAGTTCTGAGTATCGAAGATGGATTAAACTTATTCGAGGTAACTCTAAGCCGAACTTTTGGGCTTGAACTAAACCAAAACTAAAATGAACTGCAGGAAAAATAATAAAACAAACCCCGATTTTCCAATTTGTAAAATATAATTAATGAACTCACCTTATAAAATATACAATCAAACCAACATTGATAATAACAGATATGATCAATACTGTACCCAACACTCCACCAACAATACCTGAATCTAAAAGAAATTGTAAAACTGTTATATTGTTATATAAATGTACATCTATCACGAGCCAAATGTCCTTAAACAGGCTTGAAGTAACTATACAGACGCTACATGCAGGAATATATCAAGGCACAATAAAATACAAAATTAGTATTACTTGTGCTCACCAAATTTTTGACTACTCCATAACATACAAGTATATTCCACAGTTTAAACTTTACAGAAGTCGATCTGTTGAGTCCCGTTTTTATCTATGGATGGACAAATTGGATGGATAAATTTAGGATTAGACTGTAATGTTCTTAAACTTACTGTCACTCAGTGGTCGTGGACATTTTGGCGGATCTGTCGTAGGACAGGTAAATACCGACTTATCTGAAATTGCAAAAAAATTAAAAATATTAATTCCATTCGATATTTGCATAGTTTTTATAGATGGAAGGTCAATGTCATTGGGTTTATATAGATTGACAATAATATGTTATATGTCCCACAAGTAAACATTGATTGAATTTCTCCCGCACAGAATTAAAGATCAAGTTTATGATCAATATTGTGAATCTATATGAGGTTTCAGTCTTAAAAGCAAAGAAGCAGGTTGGTACTAGAAAACTGCCTGCAATCGTAAACTCCAATTTTTTCACATATTTAGATTTATTTGAAAAAAAGTTTCAATAGATTCATTTCATACTGTTTCATGTTATGTTTTTGTTTCCAAGTTTTTGATAAAAAAAATCTCTGAATAAATAAACTATGTACTAACGATCCAAACCCAAACCCGAAATCCAAACAAAATATTGTCGAAACATTAGTAGCAGCTAATGAACTTCTAACTGTCGTTTCCAACCTGCTTTATGTACACTTAATAATGATAACTATCAGTTTAATATTAATCAGCGTGAGAAAGATATTGTAGACACGAAAAATTATTGAGGTTTATGTGGTGATGTAATTGACAAGAGAACTAAAACCGTCAAATTCAGATTCACAAATTGTCAAATCCCATCAATTCTAAATCAAAGAAAAGTAATTTAGAAGTGATAAAATTAAGATATAGCAATGGAAAATCTTCCCATAAAATATACACAACACAGAATAAAGTTATATTTACCTTTTGTAACACAATCATATTGTATTTTACTGTAAGCACTAGTAGTTCCACCACATTCTATACCTTGAACCTCACGAAATCCATTTATAGTACAATTTTCGAGTTTACTACAGTTTTCTTCTACTCGTTTATTATCTTCAGATGAAAATTGCGTAAAACAATCACCAGGTTCTTCTTTACAACATGTTGTATCAGTACAATCAGCTATACCCTTACTATTACATCCTGATCTATATCCATATGATGTATTTATTATCTGTATTACTAGAGGAATAGGACAAGATAGTCTGTGAGTTGTACATCTTGCACCAGGTGCTCCATAACATACTGTACTTGTATTAGTACTACCTGAAATACTTATATTATTATATAGAAAGTCTGACAATATACCAAAATGTACACAAAAGGTTTTTGTCGATAGTTATAGATGTTTATGTGTATCTTTTGCACATTTAACCTTCCAAAAGTTACTGTTATTTCAGAATAAATGACCCCACTATCATACAAATGGAATGGTATGACCGAGATGTTCTGAATCGCAGTACCCGGTAACGAGGAATTCAGACTGGTTTAAAGATACGCAATAAAAGTGCCCGATATACAAATGTTAAAACAGCTTGATAGAATCCTCTCTACTTACTTGTATCAGGAAAAATTGTCAAGATAATATACACAAAACTTGTCCTGAATCTCATTATACTAGTTATCACTAGTACATATTCATTTATTGTGTATTTATTATTTTATACTTTCTGGGCCGCCATCTTAGATAATCTAAAAATAAAAAAATGAAAGAGAACCTGTTAAAATATTTTGATTTTTAAATGTGTGGCTTCAGCATAGATCGAACTATTTCAATTTTAGTGATGATCAAATAATTTCAGGTGTCGATCATAATTCTGTAAGGGTTTTTTTTGTTAAATTTGAAATTTATTCTTAATAATTATGTAAATGTACAGCTATTCGTAAAACTACAATACGCAATATACCTACATACTATATATTCATATGCTAAGGGAATAGGAACATAACTTGAATTGAATAAGCTTAATACTAAGAGCATTATCACGACTTTTCATAAAATGTCAAAAGTCAGTTATTTAAATGCAAAACTTATTCAAACACAATCGACAAAGGAGAACAACGAGTATACTGTGTCAATCAGAGCGTTTATAGAGACACTATTCATAATTTATTTATGGTCTAAGTCTTAAGTGATTGTCACTTCTTCATACTTACAGGGTTACTTCCCTGTAAATATTGCTTTAACACCAATGCTATCGCAATCATTTAGTAGCAAAATTGGAATCTGACAAACCCAGTCTGCACATGACATCAGTCTAGCCTGTCTTGCCCTTGACACTAAATCCAATCAATATTGCGGACACGTACCGACAAAGGGCATAAACTTGTCCACTAGTACAGTGTTTTATGTCGTTACTACAAAATTGATTGTCGTATTATAAAGTGCGTCAAATTGAATTACAAGCTGGTTCATTTCCGGTCAATGACATAAACAAATCAAGGAGGAAAACTTAAGTACTTCACTAAGGATAGTTTTTAGTTTCGCTTAGTATGTAAAAATAAATAATTAGTAAGTATAACAGTTTATACATTTATATTTCTGTTATACATCCCAAATTCAGTTTTCCTATAAAAGATGTGTACCAATTTCTTATGGATGTGCCTGTGCTGTCTGGTGTGTTTTGTTCTTCAAACAGGTGAGTTTGATTTTTGTAGATTTTATTTCTATTGTTTTGTATTCAGACGAGATTAATCTTGGGGTGAATTTACGGCTGTTATCTGAGCAAAGTAAAAAGTATTTTTTTTAATTTTTTAGGAGAATTGGAATATCAGACTCAAAATAGGACTGCTAGTCTAAGAATGATAAAAATATATACTTTTGTAAGTTAACATTGAAAAGAAACAAATTTCTCTCCTAGAAATTAAAACCCTAAAATGTCACAAATTTTGGCTGAAAATTGTCCTCTGTGAAAACAAATTTTGAAGACATAACGTGTTTTCATCAACGCAAAGCCATTCTAAGACTATCAGTACTATTTTCAGGCTGATATACATATTCTCTTAAAATTATAACATAATAATTAAAATAATATTCGTGCATGAAAGATTCCAATCACACAATTTACATGAGAGCAATATTTAATATGTTAATTCAATGTGTTAATCCCAATTATTGTATGTTTCAGACGGAAGAATCGACAGCACAGCGTGCTATGGTGTATCTGGATTATCTTGTTCAACTCATGCATTATCTTGCGTCAGTCCTCTTGTCATACAAATAATGAACACAACCTACGGATTCAGGCCAAGCTGTTTTGATTTATCTGGGAAATCGCACTGCCAAGTGGACCAATGTTGTCGAGAGGAACCATATGATTGCTTTACTTTATTCTCGGAGAACGATAGCTTAAAGGTACAGGAGAAGTGTAATGGTCACCAGTCTTGTATAATTCAAGGAAGAAGACAGCTTGATGTAGTGTGTAGAGGACATGTGATAAGTGCCTATAGTAAAGTACAATATAACTGTGTTTTTAACGGTGAGATATATGTTTAAAACATGCCAATGTCATATGGAAATCTAAATGTAAATCATTTCTGAGATTGGGTGTGCATGTGCCCTGTTTGTAAATTTATCACAATTTGTAAGATACCTAAAAAGGATGAAATGTTGTCTTTCTTTTTCCAAAACTATGTGGTTAACGCAATGATCCTAGTTTCCAACACGATTAGATAGTTAGTACCCACGTTTTAAATTGTCATGCTTTTACCAGATTAGAAGATGAATTCATCTCGTATTGTCAAGTGCATATAAAATAGGCGTAGATTTTGAATTTTGCTATTGCAAAGTGTGTGAAAATAATAACAATATATCAATATATAATTTTAGTATCCAACAAATACAAATTCAATGATTATTTCAGATTCCAGTCCAACACTTTTTACAGATACACCTGATGTTCTGAATCCAACAAATATCAAGACGTCATTTGGTAAGACATGTGCTGTCATTTGCCTCAGCGTCCCTTCTTTTGATATATTCGGAGATACATTTTCAGAGAGTGAGATTACAGTCGTATTGAGTGACACCAAGTTCTATCACTACTGTTATTTTTTCAGACCCTGTAATGGTGGCGGTAATTAGTGTTATAACGGTATTAGTAATAATGATATTAGTTGCCATTTTTATATGCAAAATTCGGTGAGTTGTGTTTTTTTACGTTCTTTGGACCGTATATAGGGATAAAGTCACATATTTTGTGGTTCTTAAAGATTCACCAAGCTGATAGACTACGACTGTACAATCTGAAGATAAGCAACATATCCATTTATTTGTACGCAAATTGCTTAAATAGAGAAAATATCTTAAATATTAAATAAGCTATCAGGTAAGCAATTTCACGGAGTATTTATGGAATGTTCATAACCGTATTTGAATGACTAATATATTTGTCCTTGCAATTGATTTGTTTTCAAATGTGCGTTTAATAAGGATATGTTTGTTTCAGACATAAACAATCTAAGAGTCAAGAAGATAACAATACTGCATTGCCAAAACGTGAAAGCTACACCCCACATTATACGACAATTGATGATACTTCCGTTAGAGATCGTAACAGTATTAGTGAATATGAAGATGTTGAATTGGACGACCAGTATTCGACATCAACATTGGTAGACAACTTCGATAACAACAAAGACACACCTAGAATACGAATTTACAACAGTGACAAATACAGCTTTGTCACACCGGCAAATTATAACCATGTTCATTTGAGTAGCAATGATTTAACAGATAGAAACAATTATGACCATATCAATGACGTTCGGTTTCCTGTTGGCGAAGTGGATGATTACAATCATATTCTTGACCCTGATAAACAGGAAATGGCATTTGACGACAATTACAACCATATCTCAGCCCATGGGAAAAGATAATAGGGGCTATTGTTCTTTTCTTATGAATAAAATATCTTATTTAAATAATTCTTTTTCTCTATCATAATCCCCGAAATATAGCTTGTTTGGTTGCCGAGAAACAAACCAAGTAGCAAGTAAAATGGTATGAAGTTAAACAGCGACTCAGATCTCATAGGTCTGCGATATGTTCTGAAAATAACAGGATGATGTCACAAGGACAGGTTTGCCAATTTCACGGGTTGATTTGGGTCTTGAATACATGTAAATAATCAGAATTAGAAATGTATGAAAGTCACCTTATTCCTTCAAAAATATTCTGGACACAAATGGAATTGAAGGCTCAAAAGTTCGACTGTGAATGTACAATTGTTTCAACAGATGGCGAATCTGTCCCTTTAAACTTTGCTTTACCAATTGTAATGCTTGTAGGGATTAAAATCTGAAATCAACAATTAACTAATTTAACTACAGGACTTAATCTGTGACAGATTTAGAATAATCATCAAATTTGCTGATATCTAACATGGTTTATGACGAAACTGTACTATACACAAAGTGCTACAGTACTAGTAACCTAGAATAGAATGGTTTTACAGGTTATTAAAAACAGAACAACCAAAATATGTTTTTTCATCTACAAGAATGATATACGAAATGCACGATATAGGTATAAGTAAAAGCTTTCTCTAACATTCCTGGTTGGCAGGTTGAGAATTGCTGCTTGTTGGTAATATGCCAGAGAAATTGGAAAAAGAATTGCAAGGGTATTTTTTGTTGGGACTTGTTTGAAGGTTAGAAAAATGTTGATAAACAATTGGACAAGCATTTAATAAAAATCCGTAGAACCAAAACACTCCCGTTAATCAAAATCTCGTCCAAAGTATGGCAAAATCGAGAGAAACAGTAGTAGTAGACTCCTCCAAAGAGAGTACCATCAAGTGTTTCTAAAAGAGTCGGCATGGTCTGCTTTGCCCGGGACACCCGCCACTACTATACAGGTCAACCTCATAAGTTGTTTTTCTTTTTAATTGTGAAATTTTGTGTGATATTTTATGATTTATTGAATAATATAATTATAAAAAAAAACTCCATGAGATACAATCAGACCAATTTATACCTGACCGAACAAATCAGCGAATAATTATTGCTCAGAAAAACTCAGAAATATATTAAGAAACAAATCACTTATGCATTGAAATTTTGAGAATAAAAAACGGTTCAATATGATTGTTCTATTTAAAAACTCTATGGTCAAACGCGAACAACGTATGACAATATTTTATATTGAAGGCTAAACCACTCAATATTTTTAGGCAAAGGTACTACATAATTCACTATTGGTTTTCCATGCTGTAGTAAATTATTGAGGCAAATGACTTGTAAAAAAACATTATGCTATACTACCTTACCATTACCATTGTCTGTAATCTGTTAGGAAATATACATGTATTTTACATATATCATCCGCTCAGATAGAAGGATAGTGTCTAATGAGTATAACATCCATGAACATGCCATTATCAAAATAATGTTAGTATGTTAGATGATCGCATTGGTAACCTAGCTTTAAGATGAAGTACAACGAAATATTAGAAACGTTAGGCGAATTTGGGTGGTATCAGAAAAGGATATACTTTTTAACATGTTTACCGCCACTAACGTGTGGATCGCAGGCATTGATGGCAATATTTATTTTGGCGATTCCTGCTCATCGGTAAGCTTACTCAATTATTTGTTGCTTAATGTGAAATTTGTTTTAGAGTGGACTATTTATATTTTAATAAAATAATAAAATCTCTATACCTGCCTGGTCTTTGAAGATAATGTAAACATTGTATCATGTTTTTCGTTTAAAACTCGCCACACACAACAACAACATTAGCCAAAAAGTGCTTTGAAAAGATCTTTCTAAATAGTTCGTAATGAAGTCGGTTTCTGAATCTGTCGTTTAACAATGAACACATATTAGGACATTCCCTGTGTGTCACAGTCAGGTCATACACAATACAAATAATTCCTTACATCTGCGCTGGCATACATTTTCAATCTGGAACTGCACTTTTCCAGATGTCAACTACCCAGTGAATTTTTAGATACCCACTACTACCCTACCAATAATGTAACACAATACTATGTCAATTCTACAATACCAGTTGATGATGGGCAGTGGGCTGAATGTGAGCAGTATGATGTCGGTAACTTATCTACGTTTAACGGAATGGATGTAGTTAATGGAAATATTTCCAGGTTGAAATGCAATGACTGGGTTTATGATACTACTAGATATCACAGTACTTTTGTTACAGAGGTAAGGTTTGTCCGGTTTCTTACTGAAAACAATGCTCTTTATCTAAGGCCGGGCATTCAATAATACTGCATTATCATGTTTATCTCAGATGTAGTAAACCAGAAAAAGCAAATCACCCCGTCACCCCTTTCTAGTTCAATTAATCTTATGATGAAATACAACAGGAAATACAACAGTGAAACCAAAAGGAACTTTGCAATACTTCATTTTCAGCCAAAGGTAAATCGTACCAAAAGAACGGGAATGAAAGGAGGGGAGGGGGGGCTACCGCAACGTAAGTTACATGTCTTTGTATACATGTTTTTTCAGCATAACCTGATTTGTGATAAAGCTATGTACAGATCTCATGCTAATATGTTATTTATGTTTGGTAAAATGGTGGGATCGTTAGTTTTTGGAATACTAGCTGATATGTAAGTATGCATCTCAATTCCCAAGTACCAGTATAAAGGGGAATGTTCCAGCAGTAACTACATTTTCATGTGTTATCTCCCTTTTCATGATCTGATTGAACTTTTGTTCATTTCAAGGCTGGTATAAACCACTAACATTAAATGTCTTTGATTGAATTTGATGTCTTTGATGACTGTCAACAGCGAGGAATTGTAGACGTTCAATTTTTGTCTGGCTTAGATGAAACTTGGTATAAATATTCGGAATGACATGAACATAGTATTGAACATATTTCAATGAACGGTATTATCCACAAAAGTCAGCTTATTAACGCAATCGACGCAATTCGACGCCTTTCCTTCGACTGTGCAAGGGTTATTCTTCTTGAATTAGTCAATGTAAGTCAAATCAGCTATTATTTGTTAAACCAATGGAATTTAACTACAATAAGCTTTTGTAGATTGTAAAGATCGAGGGAGTTTACAGTTAGCAGAATAAGAAGCTAGAGTTGTCATCTGATTTGTGTAAATTAATGATATCTCAGACCAATTTTCGGCAATAAAAAGCAATAATATTTCTCATTAACTGTCGTGAACGTATGCTACCTTGTCCTTTCATTCGATGTATAATTTCAACTATAAAATATTTAATGCTTTCAGAATTGGGCGGAAAAAAGCCTTCATCATTGCTCTTCTACTAGATATACTTTGTACAATGGGGAATGCTTTCTCGCCTAATGTAGCAGTTTTTTTCATCCTCCAAGTTGGGATAGGCGCTTTTAACACGGCAGTTTTTATGTCTGCATTCGTCTTAGGTAAGCTTTCATTTTGGTTTAGTACGATGGGGTGGCGAGGACTAGTCAATCTATGGTATGGTATAGCGGTGCACGTTATTGCCTATTTTCTGTTATAACGGATTTTGTACTCACGGCATATCGACCAGCTCAACCACTTGCTCCCTCTTACAGGTCCACTAATTCCAACTTTAGAGAGAACACCTCCAAGTAACAATTCACATTGGTGAGTCCGCGATGCATGCATCAATTATCTAAAATTGTTGGAAATCGGAGAGAGATAGAGCTTCATTTATATTGAATAATTTCCAGTCGTCTGAATTCCCAAAGACTTGGAATAATAAAAGTGAGCAAATAATATTCACATAGAACAATCAGCAATTCTTTTGTTTTCATTTCAGGATTAGAACTTGTCGGTAAAAGTAAGCGAGTGTTTGCTGGAATAGTCATAGACTTCTTCTGGGTTGGTGGATTATTTATACTACTGATTTTGGCCTATTTATTTAGAAGTTGGGATGATCTTGTGATAGCTGCAGCACTACCAATAGTGCCTTTGATTATTACATTCTGGTACGTTGACATCACAGACCTGTTAAAAGTTATTTTTTAGACCAATCATACCAAAAACATAGAGAGATGTGGGCGTATAAAAAGTCGTCTTTTCTTCAGACACTGACATACAGAAACATTAAAATAAATCCCTAAGTTTAGGTTTCTTGAATGAGTTGTTCGATTTTTGTACATTTCTAGTACATCTGAAGACTATTTCATATATACAAGACCCAAATCAATCCCCGATAATGGCGCATGTGTCCCTTTAATACTTAAAAGACCAAATACAGGGAATTCTTTTCTAGACAATTTGTGTCTAAAGTATATAAAATGGTGAACATATGAGACGGGTATTATTCGATATTATTAGGGACGATTCTTTAACGTTTCAAGAGATATGTATATGTCACTATTTGAGACTTATTACAAGATTGTCAATTTACATAAAAAATAATAAAGTTTTAGTTACATTGAATAAGAATGACGCTTCGTTGAACGGACGCGAACGATATCTAATACTCTAACTAGAAAATTTGTATTTTGAAATTTTTGATATTAGATGACCGTAATATAATAATAATAAAATCTTTATTGAAATCCAGTTACCAGAGGTAATCTACTAACTACTACAAATAACATCTATACAGATAGAAACATACAAATTAGTATCATGAATCTTAATATGAAAAATAATATCAAATGGACCTTAACTTGCAGATACCAGCATAATATAATAATCTGATCTACTCTATAACTACAATTAATATGTAAATACAGGCAGAAATAGCATGAATATGTATATTACCAAATTATAAAAGCGATAAAAGTATGAATATAATGATGAAAATGAAAAGTGAAATAAAAAAATTAATCCTAACTATCACCAGTTCCATCTTTAGTCCAAACGACATAATTCAACAGAAAATTTAAGAGTTTGGGGTAACGAATTCCAAAGTGAACTTGCCCTATATCGTTCTTTTCAATGCTTCGAGACGGCATTTTGGAATGAACAAAGAAATGTTTATTTCTGACGTAGTAGTAGTTGAAATTGGAGATTATAAACATAAGAAATCAAAAATAATCTGGATATTTTCCAATTATAATTTTATAAGTCAGTATCCTTGTGTTATTTTTAATTCGTTGTTTAAGAGTAAGCCAATTTAATTGAGAAAACAAGTCTTACGATCAAAGTCCGATTCAAGGATACTTCGCACTGCTCGTTTTGAAGTTTATTTTGGAATGCAGTAATCGAGAATGGACAAAATGTATGCTTTGTAAAATAAGATGCGTTGATTTAAATCTGGATTGATTTTATTTTATTTAAAAGATAAATTTTAGAAGATATTATGGAGGAGATTTTATTTATATGTTACGCCCAGCAATAACGGTTCTAACAGCCGTCGGTGGTCAATCATGTCGAAAGCAGAAGTAATATGAAAAGAAAAATAGTAGTTTATTACACACATATCCTTTTGCTCTTCCTCCGGGTTACGATACCCATTCGTTCAGATCTTCATAATGTAATATGTTAATATTTATATATTTTAATAATTATTTTGCAAACCCTATATACACCTGTGGGTGTACAGATTTACATCTTAATGTTATATCTTCTCTTATTAAGACAAACTGTTTACCTTGCTTAAGACTCTGAAATCAATTTTTCTCGTTTCATATCCAGGTTCATCCCAGAATCAACCAGGTGGTTGGTATCAAAAGGTCGTACAAAAGAAGCTGAGAAGATTTTGCGTAAAGTTGCTGAAGTGAACAAAGTAGAACTTCCCGATGAATTATTCGATAAAGATTGCTTGGAGAAAGAAACTCAAGTTAATATTTGGGAAATGTTTTCATCACCCCTCTTAGTTATCAGATCTTTGATTTTATTCTTCAATTGGTAAGATAATTATCACAACTTCATTATCCACTCGATTTGAATCTTGAGGTGGTTAATCCTTTGAACATACTGCACCAAAAGAAATGATACACAGCAGAATAACGTACTGACTTTGGATTTATGAACGAAGGAAGTATGCGATTTTTTGTACATTTCTATTACTTCAGAAGACAATTTACATATATTGAAGACTCAAAATCAATCCCCGAAAATGACCATTTAAAACGAAGCTGCTTTATTGGCGTGTTGCAATGAAGTGCAATGAACAGAAAGCTTTATTTCGTGACATTGCATGATCCAGGATAGAATATCGCCTCATTTCGTATCTTGTATACACTTACTGCATGATGCTTCACACATCTGAGTGTTCAAAGTCTGTACCAAATGCGGATTTATGTTATAATTTACTTTTTCAGGGCAGTAATATCTATGGTATATTATGGATTAACTTTAAATATATCTAATCTCAGCGGGAATATTTATATCAATTTTACTATATCAAATATTGTAGAATTTCTAGGGTATTGCTCTGTATTATTATTTGCTGGGAGAATTGGTAGAAAATCGATATTATGTAGTGGTATGGTTGTTGGGGGAGCAGCCTGTGTACTCTCAATATTTCCAGCACTGTATGGAAATTCGTGTATGTTACCCTACTTCTTTGTCTTAACCATGTAAAAATATTTAAAAAAAAAAATACTTTTATGGTTGTAACCTTTGATTTGTCTAATTTAAAAATAAGTATGACCATAAGAGCGTGTGAATCCATGGCAGGATATTTCAGATACCACCTTACAACACCATTCTCTCTTTCAGCACATTATTGGATTACCAATGGTTTATCAATGATCGGAAAACTTGGTGTATCAGCATGTTTTGGAATGATATTTATTTTTAGTGCTGAATTATTTCCAACTGTATTAAGAAATTCAGGTGTTGGTCTTTGTTCAGTCATTGCAAGATTCGGCTCGATGATTGCACCTTATATATCAGACTTAGTAGGTGGCTATTTTTAATTATTTTACCATGAATACTACATGCTAATGATTGTACAAAAATAAATTCAAGATATTTATAACAATTGTTTTGAGAAAACATGGCAAAGTGTGGTCTTCTTTATTCTTCATCAATTTAAATGATGATTTGACTGCCTTAGTACGGTAATAACGAAACTGATAAATGCCATCTATTTTTCAATCTGCAAATTACCTTATCTGCAGTAATCTTGAAACTGCTGACAAAAAAGTACTAACTAGAACTGTAAATAGTCCGAGTGTAGCACAAACCGTTATATAATGGCAATGCTATCATATCATTTTCTTAACTGTTTCCAGGGAAAGTTATTTAAAGGTGAACTAGAACTTGCCTTACCTTTAATAGTATTTGGAATATGTTCTGTTGTTGCTGGTCTCCTTGCCTTACTGTTACCAGAAACAATGAATAGAAACTTACCTGACACAATTGAAGAAGCCAAGGCATTTGGAAGGTACGCATTTGATACATTTTCTTTAAGCAGACCTAAATCTGTAAGGTTCTGGAACGTTGCCTTCAAAGGGGAGTGTCTGTCATCCTCATAAATACGATAATAATTGTGACTCGATCCATTCTCCTTCAACACTATACATGTATGCTTTGTATCAAATTTCGTATTTTTGGATAGAATGTAAGTAAATAGATCATAATACTGTTCTTTTTATTCTAGAGTACCAGTTAAACTACTTTCAGGACATAAAATATGTGACTCAAGAAAGAAAGACGAAACAGTAACTGATGAGTGATCATCATCATCATCTCAAATTGTAATGGAAATAAAATGCAATCTTTCTGATCCAATATCGTTACTGATATTAATCCTTCTTTTAATTTATTTTTATTCGCCCTCATGAAATGGGGGCGTATATTGCCTTCACCCATGTCGGTCCGTCCGTCCACAATTGCTTGTAAACACTCTAGAAGGCACAATTCTTGATGGATTCTTGATTCTTGGTGTGAGTGTTTGTAATCACCCAAGGATAAACCCTATCGAAATTCAGAAAAATTGAAAAATACTTAGTATGAGTTATTGGCCTTGTTCTTGACGGATTTTGGCGAAACTTGGTGTGAGTGTTGGAAATCACCCAAGGATGAACATTTTGAAAATCAGAAGAATCGAAAAAAATTGAGTATGAGTTATTGCCCTAGTTCAATTTTTAGCTCGTAAAAACTCTAGAAGGCATGATTCTTGTCCGATTTTGACAAAACTTGGTTTTATTATTCAGTACCGCACTGAAGATTGAATATTTGTCTAGAGTTTTCACGAGCTAAAGATTGAACACGTTTTCAAGAACTAGGGCAATAACTCATACTCAATATTATTCAGTATCGCCCTAAAGAGTTCAAAAGAAGTGTAGGTTGAATATTTCATACTGGTGATTGTTACTGTACTGCTAAATATTTTTATTCAAAATCAAAGCTGCCAGTGGGCGTATATTACCTTGCCTGGCAAGCTATCTTAACATAAAATGTTGTAATATTTGAGATAGGCAGTATTGATAATTAAACTCCCTACAAGCAAAACCAAAATCTCGTCCAAAGTATGGCAAAATCGAGAGTAAAAGTAGAATAGTAGTGGACTCCTCCAAAGAGAAGTGCCATCAGGAGTTTCGAAAAAGATAAGCATGGTCGGCTTGCCAATACTATTGATAATTCACTGTAAAAAAAAACTCTGTGACTGCTGATCTTTTCTTAAAGGTGTACTTGCTGACAACACTACTTGTTGCATTGATTCTGCAAAAACATCCTGTTTTACCAGCATTAGCCAATTATTGCATTTTTTGAGTGCAATGAAGTCTGTCTTTTAATTATAATGTGTGCTTATAGTATATAACATGTAAGACTCTTTTATGAGCGATTTGTATTTTATTATCCTTATCAATTATGAATTCAGGTGAATAAACGAATCAGTCGTTCGTAAAGATCCATTGATAATTCAAATTATAATGTGCTTTGGATTTCTTTAGTATGATACAACTCGTACTATAGTCATACAGATGTGTTCAGTTTTGAGATACTTATATAGCTATACACTAGCCATATACATTCAAAACTAAATGTAAATAAGAACAGTGCAAACGTTACTACAATTTGGTTCAAGATATTTGAAAAGTGTTAAAATGAAGTATAACGAAATATTGCTGAAATTGGGTGATTTAGGGTTGTATCAGAAACGGTTATATTTTTTAACTTGTTTGCCTGCACTGGTTATCGGATTGCAAGCTATGCTGACAATCTTTATATTAGCCATTCCATCTCATCGGTGAGTTTTATTTGTCTATGCTTTCGTGAAATTCTACTGAAAAAAAGCACGACATGAATGTTTTCATCTGCAAAGTGCAAAGTTTAAATTAACTAAATTCAACCACCTATTTTAGTGAAATTTGAAAATGCAAACTAATTTCGGATTGTGCAGGTAAGTTCAGATCGGAACATTTCCCACATGCAGATAATCTTCCTTGGTATGAACATGAACGTATCGTTTGACAATTTTCATTACGTCGTGTGTAACAAAATATGAATAATGTTCAAATGAAGAAAAGTACATGTACTCTTTAAATTTATGATGCAGTTTTAGTCCAAGAAAGGACAGATGATTTCTCTACTACTTCAACAATTGATCATGCTTAGAGGCAATTGTCTTAGTCCCCCACTGTAACAAGACATCGATATTTCTTTCCAATGTATACCTTTCCAATGATCTCACTAATTTATGATATCAAATTTGAAATATTATTGATCTACATGCATACATCGGATGGATTTTCCTGATGTCCAAGACATAATAAATGTTTGGTTATCTGGGGTAAAAAATAAATTATTTATGGTGTGAAAAATTAATGGTTAATGATTTCACAATCACGTGACGACTAACAAATAGCGATATGTTTTTGAACCAGAAAATTTACTTCATATGATATAACTATAAAGTCGTGGTATAATATTGGGGAATTAGACTTTCAAAAAATATGTTTCCAGATGTCAACTACCCAGTGAATTTTTAGATACCCACTACTACCCTACCAATAATGTAACACAATTCTATGTCAATTCTACAATACCAGTTGATGATGGACAGTGGGCTGAATGTGAGCAGTATGATGTCGGTAACTTATCTACGTTTAAAAGAATGGATGTAGTTAATGGAAATATTTCCAGGTTGAAATGCAATGACTGGGTTTATGATACTTCTACCTATCACAATACATTTGTTTCCGAGGTAAAGTATTAATTGCAGAGGACATGCGAATTATACTGGACATACTAACCACATGGCATGTGGGATGGATCTGAGATTTTGTGAACTCACCTACTCCAATGCTTAGTTACAATTTAAATAGTTTCGCTGCAAAAAAATTTTTTAAAGGAACGAATTTTTAAGTCGCTATGCAACCCAATATTAAAAGGGTATTATGATGTGATATCAGGAAAATAAAAACCATTAGTGTTAATGGGGTAACTTATTTCCACGATTCAAGTTTTCAAGACGCAAAGTTTTTTATTATTATATATACATGTAATTAATGTAACATTGTTCTATAATACTTGACTTTATATGTATTTTTAAGTTTAACCTAGTGTGTGATGACACCATATACAGATCTCATGCTAATATGTTATTTATGTTTGGAAAAATGTTAGGATCGCTAGTTTTTGGAATAATAGCCGATAGGTAAGTATATGTCTAATAAACAATAGATATACTTTAAGCTGAAATGGTATTTTTTTTCTCGTAATAAGACCTGTAAAAAGATTTGATTTTGCAGAGCAATCCGTCTTGCTTGCGATATCCACTTATATAATGTCATTTTCATCTCCTCTTGGCTCAAAATAATTAAAGGTTATGCGTTGTAACATTCATTTTCAAATGATTGTTTATGTGCTTAGTATAATAATGCGTTTCGAATTAATCTCTTTAAAACCTGGTTTACAGTGTTTAACTGTTACTGCGACACCAGCAATGTTGTTACATTCTTATATTATTCCAAAATCAGTTCACATTCTAATGTTGTAGGCCAGAAAATCGTTAGCATAACTTTGTCTTTATATGTTCAGATTTGGACGGAAAAAATCCTTCATCATCTCCGTTTTAATAGACTTGTTTTGTTCCATGGCGATTGCATTCTCACCTAGCGTGTGGGTATTTTTCATACTACGGATGTTAGTTGGAGCTGCTAGTTCTGGTCTCTTCATATCTTACATTCATCATAGGTAAAGACAATATACATTCTGTTTTTTGTTGTTTTTTTGCTTTGGACGGGATTTGTTGTTAACGAAAATGTTTTGCTTTTTAATACATATATTTCTTTATATACACTACCATAGGCAATCGTACTTGAAGTTAAACTATTGACTCGAGGTTGCACATGATTTTCAACTGAAGTATTTGTTTTATAGTCATTTCATATGTTATAAAGTCTCGATACAACAGTATTGTATTGTCTTCAAGATGAAGCATCGTTACTGTCATTTAGATAACAAAATATATCATTCGCAAACAACTGTGCCATATGCCTTATATTGAATGTGTTAGTAATCTTTTTTTATGCTACAGAAACCATGATCTCTCTGAGTTACCGAGTGGGCAGAGTGTTCAAGAATACTGGAACTGTGACAACGTATTTATTAGACCGGAGGCAAAAATTTAATAAAATATTGACTACTAATTGGTACGCGTCGCTATTTTCTCTCCCCTAAAATATTCAGTCTTATCTTTTTATACTTCAGGACTAGAACTCGTTGGTAAAAGTAAGCGAGCATTTGCTGGAATAGTTATCGAATTTTTCTGGGTTGGTGGATCATTTACACTGTTGGTTTTGGCATACTTATCTAGAAGCTGGGATGATCTTCTGATAGCTACTGCACTTCCAGTACTGCCTTTTGTTATTACATTCTGGTAATTAATAAATATGTATATTTTGTTCAATCTGTATATTGTTCAGGGTAAAATTCATGGTGCAATATGAATAACCCATGATTTCGACAGTCATATTTTGAACAACATCATATGAACACCAAACAATTATTTGTTACCTGAAACGATTTTTGGTGAAAAAATTCATAAGTAAGGTTGGTTGTCAATGTATTTGAATTTTATTTGCTTTTTTGAATAAATTGTTGTGGTTTGATTTAAACGGACACGCTACGCTTTTCCCAGTTTCATCTCTATAACTTTCTTGGTAAAAATCAAGGTTTATCCCAGCATCAACCAGGTGGTTGGTATCAAAAGGTCGTACAAAAGAAGCTGAGAAGATTTTACGTAAAGCTGCTAAAGTGAATAAAGTAGAACTTCCCGATGAATTATTCGATAAAGATTGCTTGGAGAAAGAACCACGAGTAAAAATTTGGGAAATGTTTACATCACCCGTCTTAGTTATCAGATCTTTGATTTTATTCTTTAATTGGTAAGATAATATTTCAGTATTTATTAGCTAGTTAATTATTTCTGGTATTTTCTTATGAAAATCTACGTACATGTATATATATATACATCGATATTTCTTTCCAATGTATACCTTTCCAATGATCTCACTAATTTATGATATCAAATTTGAAATATTATTGATCTACATGCATACATCGGATGGATTTTCCTGATGTCCAAGACATAATAAATGTTTGGTTATCTGGGGTAAAAAATAAATTATTTATGGTGTGAAAAATTAATGGATGTATATATATATATATAATACTGGTTGAATAGTCGTGAAAATCGTCACCTTCTCTTTGAGACAAGACACAAATGTTTATCGAGACTCCAAAGTGATCTCTATTTCCTTGGCCAATTATTTCAGCTAAACATATCACTGAATTTTTACAAAATAGAATGTTTAAACATAAACTTACGATGACAACCTAAATTTACAGCTGTTGAAAAAAACTCACTCATGCGGAAATTACTATTGAGGGGTTAATTATCATTACATGCACGAGGGAAAAATAATAACCGATTGGGAAATTGGTATTGTGTCACTTCTGTCGGAACATTTAATGCATT